AACAGCAGACCGAGGAGGAGTTCGTAGTTTTAGCTTAGTCACGCCAGTATCTAGAAGTTGCGTGGTGCCCAGAACCCTGAACTTTCCGTGAATCCCTTAGCTGCATTCTGGACATTGTCCTGCATCAAAAATGCTTTTTATTGTTCTCCAGAACTCAGCTGAAACCGTTGGCGCTCAGGGTACTGCACTACTGTAGTTTTTGAGCACAGAGCAAGCCTCTCCTCTGGCCTCAGCTTTTGCAAAAGACCTCAAAACGAAGGGTTACGCTTCAGAGAGAGTCGCATTGTGATGTAAACCAGCTTGGAACTTAAATGTTACGTTCTGTGTAAAAGGTGGGCGTAACCAACCTCTCATTACAGTATCTTACAAAGACGAGGCGTTCCACTTCCGGCGATCACTGTCAAGAAAGCAGAATATTTTTGATGCATTTTCAGGGGTGCCAGCAGGCAGAATGTTTGCTCCAGCTGGCTCGAAAGGGAATGGACTGTTCTGGTCCATGCAGATGCGTGGAGCGATGGACACACTAACGTGTGATGGGCTCGTGGCTGAGCATGTTGCTCATTTCGCGCTGCGCAGCAGCCACACAGATAGTGCTCACTACAGTCGAAAAGTTTTCGATCATTTTTCCCCCCTTGTTACTTTTGTCTGAGGAATTACCAGAGGTGCTTGGAACTCTAGAAATCACTTAAAATGTCTTCGTCGTTCGCCTGTGATTGTGAGACTCCACGATTCAGAGCTGTTTGGGGCGCAGACACTTGAAATTAGCCGCAGTGGTGATAAAAAATGACCACGGCAGTCCCAAACTTGCTGTTAGAAATATCTGTATTTCTGCAGAAGTTTGTTCATAAGCAGCCTGGTGGTACTTTTAACTCCTTAGTATGCGCTAGTATCAATGCACTATAGCAATTCGAATGACCAATTCGCTGATGCATCGGGCTAGCGTTTGGCGAAATGCAACCTCTGAAATAAAAGTAGTGCCAAGCGCATCAGTTCGTTGATTGCTGCAGAATTCGTTCGGCGATATTGTTTTGATATTTTCTCTATAATCGTATAATTTCAATCGCAAGAATTTGTAGAGTGGGGGTGCGTTTCCACGTTACAGCGCCCTGTATGGAATGGCATCATACAGCGCATGGTATTGTACAATACCGGATGGAGTTGGCCCGTACCGTGGTACCGTATACAATGCTGTGGTACACAATGCTGTGTAGAGCGCACTAATGGCTACTGGATCGAAGTACCGAGTACCCCAGTACGATGGCACCTGGGCAGGTTCGGACAGACAAGCTCTGGAGGCCGGTTTTCGATGTAAGTGGTTATGTTGTCGGCACCGCAATGACATTGTGACTCTGGTCTCGTATCGACAGAATTAGTGTGATTCCTACAAAACAAAGGGATTTTCGCATTGAATTTCTTTCTAATATGTGTGTTTTTGAGATATTTCGCATAGAAAAGAAATAATTTTAAATATTGATTTACAGGAATAACCGCTCATGCACTGTTTGTCTCACGTAGACGATTTTGAGCAAACCCAGATCAGACAGATATAGCACTCAGATCACGTTAAAACCGCCAAAGCTATTAAAGAATTGCTCAGACTCGGTTCACATGCTCCGATCTAAAAGGGATGATGACTTTTACAGCAGGTTCTAGTAACTTCCTACCCAGGTATAGCTGGAGTTGAAAAGGTAGAATGGGGAGGACGGATCAGTCCATATTAATATACAGAGCCTGTTTCCACCGCGTTCTGGTTAGTGACAACTTTCAGACAACCAGCAGGTGGCACTGTACCGGTTGTGGACGATTCTGTTTATGGAAGAGATTGCGAAAGAACACTGGGCGTTTAATGCCGACGCTTTATCGGCCGGAGATAGGTAACTTTCGTAAATATTAATTTAGGCTTGGCCTTTTTGTGATGAAAAAGCAAGGAGCGGAATGTAGTTTTAAGTTAGCCGCTCTGAATAATTTTCTCACAAATTTTTTAGCTTTCAGCTTTCATTGCATACCAAGCTATTAAATTTTCATGAATTTAGGGCTAAACTTATGGAGCCAAGGCAGAAATAAGCTTGGAACTTAATATTAGCCTACTTTAGTTATTTTGGAAGTGAATCCGAAGTTAATAAAGCAAGTCTAGAAATTACGGAGGGTCCAGCTTTTTCAGCAACTATTAGCTTGGTGACGCTGGTGGAAGTTCAAATTTGTAGGCTCAGCGACTTGTCTGGTGGTAGCAACCCATCCACGTGTCGCGGCGGATATTGAATATAAGAAAACGTGTACGTTGCAAGGAGATTTAGCACCGTTGCATTTAATAGCAAGCAATAAACAAAAACTGTCATCTTGCAGGCCCATAGTGCCAAAGAATGCAGGCTCGGTGGCGCTTAAATCTAGCTCCCGCCCGGCGCATCTGCAGCGCTGTGCCACAAGCGACGCGGAGCGCGCACAGAACTATTGCACAAAATGCATAAGTGTTGCAAAAGGAAGAAGAAGCGAGTTGCAAAAAAACGAAGATGGAGGCTAAACTCCCTTCGCCTTGCTCAGTTCCCTTTTGGTTCCCTGTGATATACAAATGTCCCGTCTCTTGACTCGAATTCCCCCTCCGTGATAGTCCATGCGGTGATCAGAAATGAACTTGAAATTGTTTTTCGTACTTAAACCTAGGCTGGAACGCACCAGGCGAGCCGGAGCGATCATGCGTTTTTGCACAAAACTTGAAT